CGCCCCCCCCCCCACAAGGCCACCCACCTAAAAGCAAGGCCTCTGCCATCCTGGGGTGTCATGAGAGACCCTCCCCTTGGTGGACGGAAGCAGGGCAGGGATGGGACGGGCCTCTCCTTTATACTGATTGGCTTTTTCTCCGTCTTTGATGTTGCAGGCTAGTCTATACCGAGGAGGGTACAGCCGCTTCACTCCCTACTAGCAAGACAGACCCAGCCCCTCCTCACAGTAGTAACACTGACTGCTCCTTAGAAACCAAACCAAAATGAAATGGACACGGGCCCCCTGCCGCCCCTGCCCCCCCCCGAGGGCTGCTGGCCCTCAGCAGCCTAAACCACATATTTCGTTACCTCAAGCCGCCTCTCATGTCTCACACCCCACCTGTCTCTGATGGTGTATAGCCAAGTTCATTTTTATTTTGCAAAGCTACCAGCCAGGGGGTTGGGACAGGTGCCCGCTTTCACCAGACAAAAGCAAGCAAGCAAGCAAAACACCAGCAAGCAGAACCTCCAGGCCAGACGCCTGCTTCCCCAGAGGCCATCCAGCAGCTAAGCGTTCTTGCCAGACCCACTTCTGTGAGCCCTGGGACCCACTGGCACACAGGGTAGGCCCCAATCAAGCATCCTGTATTGGCTGGATGAACATCCAGGTCTCACATGGGTTACAGTTAACAAAACTCAGGATTTCACTTTCCCTCATATGGAAATTGCGTTTTTTTTCCCTCACATAGTGTCAGTGCCACTAAAGCAAGCTGGGGGGGGGGGGGTTGCCAAGAGGCACACAAATACACCTGGGGTCTCTAACCCTGACCATTTGCTCCAGTGCTTAGACAGGCAGGTCACCTCCATGTCACCACAGGAAGGCTCTTGCTTCCTGTGTCCCCACAGGTAGACATCTCTGCAGCCTCCCAGCACTACAGTGGTATCCAGAGCGAGGGGAGGTGGTGGAGACCTACAGTCATGCTGACTTCAGGAGGGGCTGGAGGACGTTCTAGCTTAGTATCCCCCAAAGTTTACGACGATAGGGTAAGAAAAGAGGAAGCTCCACAGCAGTGGTAGAGATGCCCCAGAGTTCACGGGGCTGCCTGGCAGACCTCCTTGGCATTCCTCCAGGGCCGTCCCCTCCTTTCAGATTTTAGTCTTGTGGCCCTATGAAGGAGCTGGAGGGACCAGCCCCTGAGTGGGCTGAATGATCCTGGCTCCTTCTTTAGTGTTAGGCCATCGGTTCCATATGGAAGGCAGGCAAGACTTCTTGATCTACCAGCCAAACAGAGATTGGGGGGGGGGAGGATGGCCAATGGTGTGAAGGATGCTGAGGGACCAAGGCCAGCACCCCATGTCCCAGGTAGACTGTTTTGAACCAGGAGGCCTTCAGAGAGCAGGTTACCCTCTTCCAACCCTGTCTGCTGCCACAGCTCCCCCTGCCTGACCGCCCCCACCCCCACCTCCCCGTCTCAGGCTACTGCCTGCAGGTTGCTCCATGGAACGTTCTGCCTTTGTTTTCTGTTGTAGTGAAACCTTCAGCAGTTTCCTTCTGGGACCAGGAAGGGCACAAAACAAAACAAAACAAAACAAAAATAAAGCAAAGCAACAAACCAATTACAAAACTAAACAAGCCAAGCGATCGAGTGCAAGCCCCCTTCTGTCCACACATGCGCCCCCCCAAGCAACAGGCCATCTGGAGCGCACACACCACCGATCAACTAACTGACCAACCGACCGGACAGATGGACGGCAGCCGCCCACAGACTCTGCAGAACCGTTCACCACCACCCCCCGGGGAGGCTCCCGTGCCCTGCTCCGCCCTCCCCACCCCCCAGCTGCAGACGGCGGGGCCCGGAGGGACAGGCACCGACACAGACTGGAATCTGCAGGCCCTCGCCTAGGGCCACCACGTACGTCTTCCTTCCAAGCCCTCCTGATGAAGAACTGCGGCCGCCCCAGACCGCAGGAAAACGCCACGAGTGCACCTGCAGGGCTAGCAATCCTGCTTCTTGCTTCCCAGAACCTTCTAATGCTTTTTTGTGCTTTGCTGGTTCATCCATTTGTCAAGCTTGGCTCGGGATGGACGGGCCAGGCCAGGGGCTTTACGGTGTGGCCGCTTTGTCCCAGTGGGTGGGAATCTCGGGTTCTAGAGGGGGTTTTCTTTGAAGAGAGTGCACTTTCCCCTCCCCCTGAGGATCCCAGCCCCTTAAAAGGGCCAGACTCTGCCCCGGCCCCCCTCCCCATTTACCTTCCTTGCAGTAGGCTGATCTCATCACGGCCCGAAAGAGAGCTGAAATAATCTGAGATTGTCCCTGCCTTCCTCTCCTCCTCCTCCTCCTCCTCGACCACAAGACCTTCCTGCCCTGCGTTTGAGGGCCAAGAAGGGCCAGGCACCTCTTCCTCGTTCCTTCCTGGAAGAGAAGCCACTGCTGGGGTGCCCGAGGGAAAGCACATCCTGACAGCCTGCTGCAGACATGCCAGGGAGAAAGCAGTGCCACCGCTGCTAACTCAAACCCCACCGGCCTGCCCCATCGAGATAGCGAGTGGGACGGGCCAGGCATAAAGAGAAAGGCGTTTTGCTGCACACCAACTGGGCAAACGTGTCATCCAGCCCCAGAGCCTGCTGATGCAATGGGCCTCCCCCCCCATTTGCCAGTGTCCTCTTTGCCCACGGCCCTTGGTGGGAGATGTGCGTGGGCCCTATATGGGCCCCCACCCCCACCCTGGAGCCAGATGGACTCAGGGCCTCCCCTTGCCCCTGACCCCCACCTGGGCTTCTTCATCTCATGAAACCTCACTTTCTATTCAGCATTTAAGCTCCTGACACGCCAGCAACCAGATGATCCTCCTTTTCTATTCCCGTTGTATATAGACGCCCCCTCCTTTACAGCTCCCCCCTCCCTCCCTCTTGTACAAAGCTCCCCCTCCTCCTCGCCCCTCCCATCTGCTACCCTTTCTCCCACCCTGGGAGCATCAGCCACCCAACCCCATTCTGTATGCTTCTAAGGTGTGACCATTCAAATAAACAGTATTATTTATTGATGATGATTATTATTATTACTATTATTATTAAGATTATTAATAAAGGTTTCTTTCTTCAACCAGGATGGCTCAAGATTTTGTCTGGGGACTGGCTAAATATGGTGACAGGAAGCCACGTGGGAATATCTGCTTCACAGATGAAACCTAGGGATGGAGGGTGTGTTGACTTCTGGGCACAGTTTTTCACTGTTCAGCATTACACGAAATACAGTCAGTGGTAAAAAGAAGGTGGAGTAAGAGGAACTGGCTTGGACAAAGTCAGGCACAATGAAATAAAGAGTTTATTGCTTGAATGCATAGATTAGAACAGGGGAGCAGGCCGGTGTGTGCAGGCTGAGGATAAGTGGATTGCAAAAACTGGAGGAAAGCAGCAGGGGAAAACTTTGGAACATGGCTGTGCAACATGTGGATCATTGGATGATTCCTGGATTAGTTTGTGTTGGCTAAGGCTGATGGAACTTACATTCCAGCCACATCAGGAAGGCCACATGTTCCACAACCCTGCCCCAGTGCAATTAAAGGGTGAGGCATTTCATTCTGTCAGCCTGTGGTACTCGGGGTGTTTGAAACCAACTTTGCAGATCAGTGATACTGTATGCAGGATAACGAGCTGCTACTCTCCGCTGCAGGGCAACACTGCATCGTGCGTCTTGCAGCTCACCAGATATCAGCCAGGTAGAGTGGCCTACAAGGGGCACACCTGGCATCCCATGAGCTTGCAACCTGCACTGCAAAAAAGGGGCAGTGAAGATCCTGGTACGCATCCAGCAGCCCAAAGTGGATAGGTTGCATTCTGGCTTGGTGGGCTGCAAAGTGTGCATGGCTGTGCCATATATTTATAATGTCTTGATGGCGGCCTTCACATCTCCTCTCAAAGAAAAAGGAATAGAGAGGTTCTACACAAATAAATTATACCCAACATTTTTTTTTCTTGCTAGTAATGAAATTGACTTGGTCTGCATTTACCTTACCCCCCCCCCAAAAAAAAAAAGATTAAACAAAGCTTCTACCTGTACTTCTTCATTCCGCACAGCTGTTCTGGTCCTTTTTCTGCCCTCTCACTGCAATGTTCCTTTTCTAGGCAACCCATTTCAGTTTTACTCAACCAAATTGCATCGTTTTAAACCAGGTCCACAGAAATAGGTAGGTAGGTAGCAAGAAGGATACATGCATTATTCAAGGTGCGCATTCAGGGTATGGAAACATGACCATATATTTGGCCTCTCAATTTATGTAAACGTGTCTTGTTTGCAGTGGGGAAACAGAAACACAAGACATGGGCGTAGATTTACACCATTAGCTGGTTCACAAAGGCAAGATTGCAGGCAGGGCAATAGCTGAGTGTTGGGAGAAAAGTGTTGGGAGGGCAGCAATTTACAGAGGTATCACATTAAGGTGGACAGTGAAGGAGAAAATGTGACAATTAAGACTCAGTTGGCACTGCCGGCATTTTTCAAAATGTCAGACTGTTGATCTTGCTCCAGTCGTGCCACCTAAGCAGGACTGGCAGTGCACTGTAAATGTCGACATACCAATTTCCTTAGTATCAAGCAACTACCGCATGTGGAAGACCAGGCGTGTGCAGCAAAGAGGCAGCAATTCTGGCGCATGCCACGCTTCACCAAAATCCCTGCTGCTCATTGCCTGCATGCCAGACTGTGAGGGAGTCGCGAGGAAGACTGTTATCAGTTTTCTTGCTGGCCCTGCATCAGAGATCCATGTGTGCGCATGTATATATAGTGGGTGCATCTAGAATTATGAAGGGAAAAGCAAAGCAAGAGAGATTTACCACCATCCCAGGGGGCAGTTGCTTAGTCCTATAGATTGGTGTGAGTCAGCTCAACAGGTCTGTGGATGAGGATAATTGCGTCTCGTGAGAGCCCACTATGGGCTGTACTCCCCATAAACCAGAAATGGACAGGAATCCAGTCTTGGATTCCTCATAACCTTGGAAGCGCAAACAAGACCAGGATGGGCTTCTTTTAAAATAAAATTACCTTTTCTGGAGACTTCAAAGGGCAAAATTCTCCTTTTCTTTTGAATGAAAAATGGAGGGGTGTGCAAATTGAAGGCTCAGGATGGGGTACATGCTTTCCACAGCCCATGTGATGGCTATCCCACAGAGGAACAGGCTATGCATGACCAGCACCAGTGAGGGTGGACTGGTGAAGAGAAGAGGACGACCTGCCACCAGCTACCTCTAGATCCTTGGGCCTGGGAGGTCTCGGCTCTTCTGTTTTGATCCGGAGGGAAACAGTGCCCATTGCTTTTCCATATACCTTTGGAAGCATTTGTTCATTCTGTTAGCAGAAGGACTGCACAAGGCATTGTTCAACCATTCCCCAAAATCGTATCTGCTATAATAAAATTTGTATGTAGTCTCTTTCCAGCTCTGGGTGTAGACAGGAAAAAAATGTGCTGAAGGAAGAAATAAAAGCCTCTAGATTTTGTGGTCCTGACTCTTCATTGCATGCACTTGTTTTAGAACAGATGAATCTCTCTGAGTAATCTGGCTCTTCTAAGTCTACCACGGCGCAAAGCAGTACATCCAAAATAGTGCATGATAACCTATTACATCTGCTAGGTATTTTCTCAGTACGTATTAAGCTAGTTCTTGCCAAACTTACCAAAATATAGGCATAAAACGGCAGGATTTCAGAACAGGAATAACAAGGTTAATCTTAAATCTCAGCGGTGTGGTGGAAAGCAGACAACTCAAAGCCCCTTTCCATTCCCAAAAAAGAGACAACTAGACAGACATAAAGTTCTGCTGCCACCTTGTGGGCCAAGTCAAGAACTGTATGTCCCTCTTCCAGCCTCATTCCCAGACACAGGCATTTCATCCAGGGAAAGCCATGCCGCCTTCTCACCAGACTGCTCAAGTAATTAAACCAGCCATTGTTTGAGGAACCATAGATTTGTCATCTCAAAAGCCATGAAGTATAATTATCATCTTCAAAACAAACCAAGCTGTTAAACCGCTGTTTGAAGCTACTTTAAGATCCTGCCCGTTTCTCAAATACTGTTGTTTCCAGGTCTAGCTGAAAGCATAAACATCCCACTCAGAAGAAGCAAGGAAGAGGAAGAAGCTGCTTATTAAACCAAGGTACGATCAACCAAGTGAAGCCACATTGTGAGAGTACGCTATTAGGTTTCCTAAATTAATTGTGCACAAAGCATACAATATTGTTTGGGGTTTTCCTGCTCTGATTTTGGCACCTTTCTGGCAAATCTTGGGAGCCAGTGAAGTTTATTGGATAGCGTGATGGACTAGGACTATGTAGAGATAGGTTAAAATCCGTGCTCACCCGTGGAAACTCACAGGGGTGGGGTGGGAACACTAGTAAAACTGGTCCTTAAAAATCTCAAAAAACATCAAAAATTGTGTCAGGGTTGCTTTCAATCAGATGCCACCTAATAGGCACATAACACACCCCTGCAGAAGGAAATACATTATGGCCAAAATCCTGCTGCTTAGCATAGTAACTCACATTAGAGTAGTAGATTAAATCAATCGGGATTTAGGGATTCAACTCCTTTACAAGTTCAATTGATTCAGGTGGGCCTACTTTAACTGCAACTTACTTTAGCATAGACATTGTATTTAGAGTACGCCCATTTGAATCTATAGGACTTATGGAGCAGTTGACTCACTAAATAAATCCTCAGTGATCCAATAGGCCCACTCTAGCGCAATTTACTACACTAGGAAACAGGAATTTGGCCTGTGTTTCTCACTGCTGATAGTGCCACCTCAAACAAACCTGACTAAACCAGACCTCAAACATCAAGGGGCAACTTTCTTGTAAAATTTTTATTGGTTGCAACAAAGAACATTAAATATAGCTTTAATTCTTAAAGTGTAATTGAATAAGATTTAGAACACCAAAAACAGAAAAGTCATTTGATGTGAAAGTAGACATGGCTATAACCCCTTTCTTCCAGTCATTAATGGCTCGTATTTAATTTGGAGAATGAACTACACTTACGTCACTTCCCAGTTCTTTAGATTATAGATAAAGGTAAAGCTTCCCTTCGACATTTAGCCCAGTCGTGTCCAACTCTAGGGTGCGGTGCTCATCCCCGTTTCCAAGCTGCAGAGCCAGCATTTGTCTGTAGACAGTTTCCGTGGTCATGTGGCCATTGCGACTACACATGGAACACCGTTACTTTCCCACCGTGGTGGTACCTATTTTTCTACTCGCATTTTTACATGGTTTCGAACTGCTAGGGTGGCAGGAGCTGGGACAAAGCGATGGGAGCTCACTCCGTCGCATGGATTCGATTTTACGACTGCTGGTCTTTTGACCTTGCAGCACAGAGGCTTCTGCTGTTTTACCCACAGCACCACCACATCCCTTTACTTTAGACTATACTCTCCCTTATATCTGGAGATGGGGGTATTCGTATATGAATATGCCCACAAAGCTGAAGTTCAGGAAGGTCAGGCCCCACACATCCACTGCCACTCCCACTCATTCTTCCGATCACCCCCAAGCACCGTTCTCTTCCCAGTCGGCTAGCCACTCCTGGCAGAAGGAGGGAGAATAAGTCTCCCTGCAAGGCTGCTGAGTGGCTAGTCGACCCAGCGCTCCAGAGTGATTGGAAGGAAGAGAGGGGCCACCGCTGGACGAGTGAGTGGATGATCCAGCCCCAGGGGCCAGACCCTTGTCATGTCCCGCTGCGCAGGTATATTCCTATGTGAATACAAATATCCCCATCTCTATATCATCCTTTTTAAAAATGAATTTATGACAAGAAAACAAATTGCGCAGGTACTGTATATTCCTATGTGAATACAAATATCCCCATCTCTATATCATCCTTTTTAAAAATGAATTTATGACAAGAAAACAAAAAAAAATGTAATGCATGACTCAAATACATGCCTATTCCTCCCTGCATTCCTAAAGGAAACTAAAGGTCACATTTCCTGCACAACCACCTCCTTCTCAAACATCTGGGATTCAGCAGCTCTGAAAAGGCACGTGTGCCTGCTCCCAACATTAAGTTTTTTTACCAGTGAAAATAATTTCTTATCTCATCAAAGGCACTTTGGTTCGTATATAATAAGTATGCTTCCCCTCAGGAGTGAGGCAAAACTGTACAAAATATGGCTAAAGTGGCTTATTTCAAAAGTCACAACATACTGCTATAACATGTTTGAATGTGTCTAAATAGAATGTTGCCCACTGTTCTGTGTCACTAAGAACCAAAACGCTTTAACTGTTATCAATGGGAAGGGCAATCCAGCAAGACTAATGCTGGCGGGTGGGGTGGGGGGACACCCACAGTGGAGGAACTGCCAGATCCCAAGCCCTGTCAGGTCTGTACCAGCAATGCAGAATGTGTGAGCGGGGGGGGGGAGAAGAGAAACAACAGCACTCAGGAGGCATTTTAGGGGAAAGGGAGGGCTCTGTCTCCGACAGATGCAAAGCCTCCCCTGAGAAGGTCCCCCTTAGGATCATCTGCTTTTTGCCCTCTCAGACACAGCCCCTGTGGTGTCTCAATGGTAGCAGGCCTTTCTGCAGCCACTAAGCAGGGACCTCCAAGGCAAGTGACTGTCTCCACTAGCAGAGAGGGAGTTGCCCCAACACGGCCCATAAGAAGCACTCAAGAGTGCGATGGCCGAACTAACAATGTAAAGGGTAACTCCTTTCCTAGAGCAGTGGCACTTCCATACTTGTAGCCTTACCAACTCCCTATGGATTGATTAGGTCTACTCTGTTCAAGATCAAGGGGGATGCCTCTACACACACACAACCCTACCTGCCACATATCTTTTGACTTGCACGTATTCCCGAGTGGCATAAAATCATAAACAAAAATAAAATCAAAGCAAAAGTTCCCTTTTTAATTCACCAGGTAGAGAAAGTTCTCAGAATTCTCTCTGCATTATTGTATAAGCAACCAGCAAACAATCTTCTCTCAAAGGAGACGGCCCTGCCTGTTCAAGCCTACTTGTGTGTGTTGAGAGGAGAGAGAGGCTAAACAGAACTCTCTCAGCCTCTCCAACATACCGTTTCTCAAGGTAAAAAGAAGAGACACAAGTTGGTCTTATCCTCAGAGCTTCAACAGCTACAGCCTTCCTGCCCCCTACGTTTTTGTGGTGAGAATTTCACTCAGGGTCTATCTATCTTTTCAAAATGGTCAAGCGGGAATTTCATTACTTCACCATAATGAAATGCACGCTTTGATAACCTTGAGCGGTATCGTTTACATGCTGCTGAGACTATCTGTAACACTCTTATTTAATACGCTTTTTTCTCCTTTTGAAAAGGATGTTTTAAGGGTATGCTATGAATTAATAAAACTGTTCTGTGCAATTTTGTATTCTATCTCCAAGTACAGTGTGGCATGATTTTGTTAGGGCATATTTCCCTGAAATACCTTTTTCCAGCATATGATTAACTACTATAGTATTTATCCAAGGAAAGATTATCTTTGAGTATTAAATATCAGTATTGTGGGATTGTGTTTCTGATGCCTGAGCAAGCTAACAATAGTGTCAGTAGTAAAAAAAAAAAAAAAAACCTCCCCATTTAAAAAAGCTCTAAATATCCACAGCCTGGCAAAGTTACTTTATTGAATTACAATTCCCAGAAACGCTCAGCCAGTGGAAATGCCGGCTCAGCGATTTTAGGCAATGCAGCCCAAATAAGTAACTTGGACCAAATGCTGGAAATATCATAGCTTTGGGACTTCCTTGTTTAGTCAAGGAAATGGCTTTAGCCAACAAAACCCAAGCAGAAATCAATTCACTGAGTGCTGCTGGGTAGCTTCGGGTCAGAGTATATGAAGACTAATTTCCCCCACATTGCAGATTCTACCTGGACACCCTCATCGGGCACTGGCTCCACCAGAAACTCCAGCCGGCAGGACGACGAGGCATGAGCTGCAGGCACTGTTAGCTCAGTCACGCGGTACACGGGAGCATGTGCTTCCCCAATCAAGAGCAGGGGAGGTTCAGCACCAGTAGCACATGACCCACTCCGGTAGTGCACACGGAAGCAGGTGGCCTCGTGAGCAGGGTAAGTCCAGCGCAAAGTGAGGCTGAGGGAGAGCTGGCCAGCTGAAGCCAGTTGCCAGTGAACGTGGGAAACATCCATGGGCGACATTGGACTGGCAGCATCGGTGGGTGAGAGGGAGTGCAAGGCATCAGCATCCAGGACCTATGGAAGAAAGATGGGATGGGGCATCAAAGGGAGGGAGGAGTCCTGCATGCAAGCAATACTGTAGGTTGATACAATGTGGGATGAAGGGAGGTGGGAAGAAAAAGCAAGGGGGAAAGAACTTTCTGCTGGCTCAGCTCAGATGTAGAGCGGGGTCACTTTAACAGGCTCAGAGAGAACTCCCTGCCACCACAGGAGCAGCCATCTCTGCTGCCCCAGAGCCTGGGAAAGCCGTCCTTTCGTACTGACCCTCCCTGGATCTCCAAGTCAGCATGGCTCTTGGCTGGGCTGGCTGGGAGTTTCAGGAAGATCCAAAACAGTAATTCTTGCACATTCTGAATTACTGAACTCCAAACCAGCACCTTGCAGGACTTCCGTGGTTCTCTCCCACCCCTCTCCCCTGCCTCCTTACCCAGATCTTGCCCAGGCGGCAGGCAAATGACACCTCTTTCTCCTGACCAGACTGGCGACGGGTCACAGTTATGGAAAGCTCATCCAAGAAGGAATTCTGGAGCTCCAGCTCATAGCATCTGTGGGGGGCAAGGCAGGCAGTAAAGTGGATGTGTCCAACTGGCTGACTACAAAAGGCCTGCCGGCTCCACACCTCTTCTGCTACCAGGCATGGACGCACCCTCCCCACAAAGCCTGGCCACCGGTTCCTACAGTGCCATCTCTGTGCTCAGCACTTTATAAGGCAAAAGCAAAAACAAGATCAAAGATGGCATGCGTAAGGGGGCGAAGCTCCAGTGGGCTTCTGGATGTTGGGCTGGGATGCTCATTGGGCTGAGGACCAGGTGGTCCCCAAGGCTGGCGCATGATTTGACAGAGGGGAGAGGACAGATCGGGGACACCAGAGGCAAAGCTCACCTTATCAGAATTAAACATTCCTTCCTTCCCTGTCCAACTCACCGGCTTTGCCAGCCATGCTCTCCCTGGCGTCCACACCCTCTGAGTAACTGGGCAAGGTGGGGAGGAGGAGTGTGGAGAAGGTAGGGCTTATGCGCTGTCGTGCCTGATGGAAGAAATGCATCCGTTAAGGAGGGAGGGAGGGAGGGAGGGAAGGAAGGAAGGAAGGAAGGAAGGAAGGCAGGAAGGAAGGAAGGAAGGAAGGAAGGAAGGAAGGAAGGATTGCTAGCCTTATTAGTCCCCTGGCTTGTTCCCCGTCCCTCAGAGGAACCTAGAGATCACTGAAAGCCTTCCCTGGCTATTCAGACAGACCCACGGGTAGGACCGTGACAGGCCTACCTTACCTGGTGAAGGAGAGTCGTTGGCAGCAGGAGGGGAGAGCAGCTGGCGTGTGGTGAATTCTGGAGCAAAGGTCACCGCATGGGAGGCTTGTTTATAAATTAAGGCCAGGTAGACTCGAGGAGGGGCTGGTGCCTGGAATGAAAACAGTCTGGTGATCCCCCCCCCAAAAAAAGCACCAGACAGACAGGAAGAGAGACAGAAAGAGAACAAAGTCACTGCCAACTCTGGGCGTCGGGCAGCACAGCCTGCAAAAGGAAGGCCTTTAGAATGCCCAGACCTTGTCGGCACCCCATTAGTCAGAGCTGGCAGTGCTGAGGATGGAGGCCCAATGGGCACAGAGGAAGAGGTGAGGGCTAAACCTCTTCACTCCCTGAAGGACCTCACCAGCACATACAACTGGAACTTAAGAGGCCTTGAGTTCGGCTGCACCATCTCAATGTAGACTGACCCGCCTTCAGACCACAGCCAAATATCCTCTCTGATGACCATTAAAACCCCAGTATTTTCTCTAGCTTAATTTTGGTACAGAAACTGACCATTCCCCCCTCCCCACTGCCACTATAAATTTCTCTTGGGAAACAGCACTGCCAAAACCCGCTCTTGAGCAAAATCCACACCTCGTCCACTTCGGGATCCCAGTCATTCTTTGCCTTTTCTTTTCCCCTCTGAAAACAGCTCCCCACAAAGAGGACCCGTTCAGATGAGTTACAAAAGAAACGTTCCATCGCATGTTCCAGAAAGGAAGATGTCTGCAAAGTCTTAAGGGTGACTAACTTGGTGTCGCATCGTGATCAAGGATTAAAGAAGCTCTATTTGGAGCATTTGCCTATTTGTGATGCCAGTCACAGGAGGGAGAGGACGGGGCAGCAGATGCTGGCCCACCCCTCCCACCTCTTCTTAATAGCCCAAATTTCCACCACTTGAAGGAAGAAGGCCTGAGGTAGGGAACTTTGGTACCCACATGCCTTTTAGGACATGACTGCACAGGAGTTTCAATCATGTGGAAAGAGCCGATGTGTATCCAGTAGGCTCCCTCTAGGGACCCTTCCCTTCCAGCAGCTAGAGACAAGCAATGGGAATACACATCTGGACAACATGACCCATGAGTTACATCAGTGGCCTCCATGGCCAGCTTTTCTCTGCTTCAGGCTCGCACAACTAGGTTTCTGAAGCCTATCTGGCAAAAGCAAATAAAGCCAGGTTTGAAAGGCGATGGCCTGCCACAGCCTTTCTTTGAATATTTTCTTTGAATATTTTTCCACATCCACTCTTAGTGGCTCCATCTTAGGTTATTATTCTCCCAAAATGATAGTTATATTCTCTCCCAACTCACTTCTCCTGCAAGTCTTCTCTCCTCACGTGTTGCATTTCATATTTCCAGGCTTTGGACTCAAATTCACTGCCCTGATCAAAAAATTATCCTCCAAGTTTGCAAACTTAAATGCTGTTTTCAGGCAATTTGTGACTGAAATAAGTCTGCTCTAGGATCTGTTTTATTCCTATTGCCAACCATCTCTTTTTGCCAGTGGGGAGCACACAGCCATTTTTAGCTCATAGTCCAGCTGCTCAACATACAGTAGCACTGACTTGGTGTTTTAGTCATCAACAGATATACATTTTTTAATTCATTAAGTATACAGATCTCAAAGACCATCTGCTAGGAGGGAAGAATAAAGGCTTGGTGAACACAATGTTCACAAAAATCAGGGTCTTTTCAGCCGCTCTAAATTTACTAAGTAATAAATGACTAAGTTTCAGTCCAATTTATTTAAAAGACATGATGCTTAGGATTGCAGCTCTAGGACACCAGCCATCACTGGGAAATGGGACACCCTGAGCCATCTTGGCCGTCTGACTGGGCTATGGGCAGGGCAAATCCCAAGGGAGCAGAAAAGGAAGAATCTGGAAATAGGGACACATGCCCCAAACTAATAAGGCAAACGACCCCAATTCTGTCTGGTAGGTTTGTTGGGTGTTGTGTTCCCCCCCCCGTGCAGTTTCACACTCCTATTGTACCAAATAAAAAAGTGTCTGGCCAGCACAACAGGAGAGTAAGCCTGGAGCCATTTGCCATAGTTTAGCACAGAGGAGGTTCACAACAAGAGTTTCCGAATGGTGACGTTGGCAGGGAAAGAAAGAGAGCAAGAGGAGATATCGTTTACAAGTTCTTGATGGAAGGAAAAGTTGGTTCCAGTCTTGGGGAATCATTTCTGACTTGAAACAAATCTAGAACATGAGGAGGTTCTTTTGAAGCCCTTCATGCACAGACTTGCATAAACCCATATGGAAGGTGCCAAAGGTACAGGTAAGGATGCCCACACGGCAGTACACAAGTGGCGCACAGACCTTCTATACTGGAGGAGCAGAGACACGTACATTTGTGGATGTTCTTGAACTACAGCTGCCACTATCCCTCACCATTGGTTCTGGTAGGTAGGACTGATGGAAGCTGAGCTCCAGTAATATCCAGAAGGTCACATCCTGCCCCATCCTGCTTGACACACTCTCCCAAAATCCACCTGTTACTAGGCAATGCTCACTTCAACGGCAACAGGGGCCACTTCCCATCTTTGACAAAGAATCCCTCTAGATTCTACTCCCAACTCTTCACACTTGATCCGAAAGATTTCTGCAACCTCAGCCAGCACTCACCTCACGGTGACATCATGAGCTTTGGGAGGGATGGCCCCTTCCAGCAACAGGGAGCTGCCTCCGCACCAGGCCTCCCGCAGGCAGCACCGGGTCCTCAGCCAGCCACCGCGAGGCATCTTCCGGTGGGTGTAGATCGGCTGGATCTCCTGAGAGCTCAGGTTGTACCATGGCTCTGTCCTGCTCTCCTAATAAAACAGAAAGATCCACTGAAGGCTGTACAAGTATCCAGCCAAATACTGACACACTACTACAATCGGGCTACACTAGTATTCCCCAAAGAGAGAATACAGTAGTGCCTCACACAACGATTGCTTCATACAATGATGAATTCACACAGCAATGGGTTTCTTTGAGGGATTTCCCCCATCGTTTAACGATGTTCTCTATGGGGGAATTTCACTTAACAATGTCCCTTTTTCGCTCCTGTAAAAGTGTTTTAAACTGTTAGGCATCCTTCAGTCTCGAAAGACTATGGTAGCGTGCTCTATATGGAGGGCTTGGAACAGCGCCTAGTGTGGCTGAGAAGGCCAATTCGAGAGTGACAGTCCCTTCCACACTGAAGACAAATCCAGTCTGTCCCCTGTCCGGCTCCCTGGTTTTGCTGCTTTTGTGACTTCCTCTTTGGCTCGGCCTGCTGGGCAAGGGTCTCTTCAAATTGGAAGAGGCCGTGATGCACCGCCTGCCTCCAGGCTGAACGCTCAGATGTCAGGTTTTCCCATCTGTTGAGGTCTATTCCTAAGGCCTTCAGATCTCGCTTGCAGATGTCCTTGTATCGCAGTTGTGGTCTCCCTCTGGGGCGCTTTCCCTGCACTAATTCTCCATAGAGGAGATCCTTTGGAATCCGACCATCAGCCATTCTCACGACGTGCCCGAGCCAACGTAGACGTCGCTGTTTCAGTAATGTGTTCATGCTGAAAATTCCAGCTCGTTCTAGGACTGCTCTGTTTGGAACTTTGTCCTGCCAGGTGATGCCAAAAATCCGTCGGAGGCAACGCATATGGAAGGTGTTCAGCTTCCTCTCCTGCCGTGCACAAAGAGTCCATGACTCACTGCAGTACAGGAGTGTGCTTAGAACACAGGCTCTATAAACCTGGATCTTCGTATGTGTCGTCAGCTTCTTATTGACTATTCAGGAGCCCAGAATACTTTTAATTATTTACTGTTTTCCAGAAAAGTCACCTTTCGCATTTTGCCTTTAATGGTAGTTTTGCTAAGGTTTTGATCACTTCAATAAGGCTTTAAAAGAGGAGGTTCACATATATTTGGTTAATGGCTAAGTGCATGAATACTCTAAAATGTGTTGCCACTGTTCTTTACACATTTACTCAAAAAGCGCTGCAAAACAAAACTGCCATAAATGGGGGGGGGGGGAAGAGAGAGAGAATCACTTCTATAAGGAAAATGTCTTATTCCAGGTCTGAGCATCTCTCTGTCCAGTTCCTCTGATCAGCAGTCACTCTCTGGGGAGTCAGAGTGAAGCCCTTCCCTACAACCCAGATCCTTCCACCTAGAGATGCCAAGTATGGAACCTGGGACCTTCTACAGGCCAAGTAGAGGCTCTACCACTGAGCCATGGTCCTCCCTAGGGTCCGCATGGCATCTCTTTCCTCTGGACTCCTGGGGGTTGGAAAGGAAACAAAGGGGCAAGAAAAGGAAATTTGTCTTCCCTCCCTCTCCTGCTTCGGCTCCAAGGCCTAGAGAATGTTATTATTTCTGCTGGTAAAAACAAGGCTTGAGGCTCAAGAATCTACTTACAGTCCTATTCTACTTGGGGGGGAAAAAACAAAGCGAGCCTCAGCTCTCTATCCAGTTCACAAGCAATCCAAAAACTCATAGGGCTAGAAATATCATCCTGCTAGATGCCTATCCATTTAAACACCCATCAATCAGGAGATATTTAAAAACAGGAATGGCATTTCAGTGATTGGCACAAAACCAATGATAGGCATAAAATGACAGCTTTTATTTATTCTATTCATATTGTGACTTTTTGCCAATGAACAAAAAGTCATGTTCATGACTCTCCTCCCCTCCTCTTGTGGAGCAGTTCAGACTGAGAGAGAGAGAGATTAGACAGTGAGTTTCCTCCTTCCTTCCTTCTGTCCTTCCGTCCTTCCGTCCTTAAAGAGATTAGACAGCGAGTTCCTTCCTTCCTTCCTTCCTTCCTTCCTTCCTTCCTTCCTTCCTTCCTTCCTTCCTTCCTTCCTTCCTTCCTTCCTTCCTTCCTTCCTTCCTTCCTTCCTTCCTCTCTCTCTCTTTCCCTCGCCTCCCAGTTTCATTCTCCCGCATGAACACAATTTATTTCCCCAACTCCATACCTGCCCATTGTCGAAGAGTCTCTGACCCATGCCCAGACTAAAGCTGGTGCAGAAAGGGAGGGAACCAACGCTATGAATGAACAGCATTTCCGACAGCAGGCCCCAGAATCTAAAAGCAGAAGAGAGGACATCAACTGGGAAGCTTTTCTCACCACTGCACAACTGAAAGGTACTCCACATCAAGGATCTGAGGAGAGGTATATGGAGGGGGGGGTCATTACCCCACTCATGGGTGCCAGGAAGCCCCCCTCATGCCAGGCCCAGATGAGGTGGGGGGAGATCAACCAGGCAGATAGGGATTAATGACTGAACAGGACCTCTCTTTGCCCATCCCTGCAGAAAGGGTCTAAGGTAAAGCCCCACACAGCTTACTTGTCTTCGTTGTTCAAGAAGTTGCCTGGGCCAAGGTGCTCGTATACCCAGCCAGGTGCAAAGATAGCCACGGAGAGGCCATGCTCCCGAATCATTTGCAGAGACTGCAGGGACACAGGAACAAAACAGCTACCACTCCCACCCTGCCTTGCCTTCTGGGATTCTGGAGTGTGGCCCATCCACCCCACCCCACCCACAAAACGTGCTGGCAGTGGGATTTCAGGGGAGAACCCGCTCCACCAGCAGGACACCCAAGAGAGGGTGGAAAGGTTTAGCACTCAGAAGGCCACAGTCATGCGGGGTTCTAATACCCACCCAAATACTAAAAATTCCCCTTCTCCGCAGGATTCGAGCTCCCAAATCAGCCCATCCCTGAGGACTGATACGCACTCTTGAGGAGAGAGAAGCTGCAATAACAACCCCACTGACATTGCAAGTAATGTGGCCTGTCGCTCTGGCTCACCTCAGAGAGGTGGAAGATTCACCCTGAAACAATGGGCCCATGCCCACGCCCACTCAAGCTGTGCCTACCTTGTTCGTGTCAAAGCCACCCCCCACAACGATGCCACGTGCGAAGATGTCAACCCCAACATAGACGTCAGTCCTCCGGTCATCGGCCAGCTCTCTCGTCCGCAAGAGATGGTCCTCATTCCAGTTGTAGTTAGTAAAGAACCCATCGCAAGCATCAAAGTAAACCCTGCCAACACATCCAAGGACAAAGGGATAAACCTGCAGTGTCCATGCCGGGAACTGCAAAACAAGCAGGGAACTTTTCCGAGCACTTTGAACGCCATGAACAAAGAATAGTGGGCCTTGTCACCCACACGGAAACATTCAGGAACAGGCCCTCCAAGTTGCCTTGAGAGACCACAGAGTCCCCTTTAACTCAGTGGGCCCTGGTAGGTGCCCCTCAGACAGCACGAAACCCTACAAGTCCTGGCCTGTGAGGTGTGTTAGCATCTACCAGTTTCTGCATATCCAACCAGCATCCCTGTGGTTGGCCTATGGACTAGAAAAGACAGAATCCAGCAGTGTCCCAAGCATTTTTTTAAAAAATTTGCTGATGGGTGGCATCCTGGTGAGAGGGCCAGGATGAGAGCTAAGGAGAGCCTGATTCAACCCCACCCAGCCACAAAGCTCCCCGAGTGATCGAGGGCCAGTCATACCTTCTCAACCTATATCCCCACCTGGTGAACATAAGAGTAGGGAGGAAGGTCATCAGAAATGGGAAACATGACTCTCTCTTTTTCTTTGCATGACAGCTCCTAAATATCTGCAAGCCAGGAGGGGCCAGGCCACTCTCGGAGCGGTCGTCCGAAAAGGAAAATTTCCCATGTCTTACACAGAATGTGGCTCTGATGTAGAGATGGGGGTATTTGAATATGAATAGGCCCCCCACAGGTGGAGATAACGAGGGTCCGACCCCCAGGGGCCAGACCGACCAATCACGATTCCGCTGCTGCTGCTGGCTCCATGCTCTCTTCCTATCGCTCTGTTGCTCGCGATGGATTACCCACTCCTGGCAGGAGGCGGGAGGATGAGCCTCTCTGCCAGGTCAAAGCAACAGAGAGCAACAGAGTGATAGGAAGGGAGCATGGAGCCGGCGGCAGCAGCGGAATCGTCATTGGTCGGTCTGGCCCCTGGGGGGCGGACCCTCGTTATCTCCACCTGTGGGGGGGCTGTTTGTATATGAATACCCCCATCTCTAATCTAATGCATACATAAATAAATAAGCAGTAAAACAATAGGGACCAGCCCTGACAGCCATAACGGTCGATTGACTGACTGGCTGCTCATCAAGGTCCAGGTGAGGACCTGACCTGACATGAGCACCGTGTCCTTCCTTCAGAGAACCGTGTGGCTGAGAACATGAGTTTGTTCGGTCTTATTTTCACAACTCCACAGCAAGGAAGGTCCGGCAGGCTTGGAAGGCGGCCACTGGCTCTGAGCTGGGCAGGGATTTTAATGCAAGACTGTTCAGGCCAAGCCCGTAGTGCCTCTCCTACTGACCTCCCATCCCCTAATGGATGCTCTTTCAGACCACAGCACATCACCATCAATTTGGAGAGACGCAAAAGGGTGTGGGTGGAAGCATCGTCAACTGACAAAACCACCCCCCATGCCACCCCCTGATACTTAGGTTCAGATTCATCCTCATTCATATTCACTGCCTCCGTACTTGGGTGGCCGTGGTGGGTGGCCACAATCACTCACTTGTTCAACTCGTTAAGCTCGTTCTGCCACCGGAGCTCCCCACTCTGCAGGACGCTGTCATACCACAGCACCTGTCCTCCGGGCACGGCCTTGTGCACCTGGGTCGTCAGATACCGCAGAAAGTGGCGCAAGTTCCGCGCTGCCGTCACCTGCCAGGGGGGAAAAAAAACAGCACCCTCCGTCATCCAGAGGCTGGGTTCTAGGGAAGCTATTTGGTAGCCAGGTTGTGTCCCAAATTCTCACTTACAGGCGGATTTAAATGGCAGTCCTTTTACCAATTTATTTCTAGCTGAGGTGTTGACTGCGCAGCGGGACCCTCCCTGGTGGCTATCCTGGAGAAAGCCTTGTGGAAACAGCATTCACCCCCATCCACAGGCCTAATAAATACTTTCTCCTTTCCAAGAAAGACCTTGAGAAAGCCGATTCTGCTCATACGCAGAGAGCGATAACAACCTTTGCACAAGCACCAATGAGCTCTTACCTTTGACATCCCACACCTCCTAGAGCCGTGTGGCACCCTCCCACCCGCCCCTCTTCGTCTTCAATAAAGGTAACAAGTGAACACTGGACGGAATGAATCAGCCACTGTGCTGGGGAGCAGGGAGCAGGCAACCTACCTCAAGCACAGAGAAGCCATAGCAGAAGGGCTACTGAACTCAGCTCGGTAAATTCATTGAATATTTTATGCTCTTAGCAGCCTCTCCTCCTTTTTCTGCCTCAGCCCCTGCTCTCCCCCTTGCCAAGAGATTTCTAGCCTTTCCACCTCGCAGAACTTCAGAAAACCCATCCTTCAAGCAAAGTTTTGAAGTAAGGAAACAATCTCATCACCAGGAAACAAAAACTTAGCAGGCAGGAATACTAAATATTTCAGCCCATCTTTGGATAAAGGAAGATCAATTTCTCTAATTTCTGAACATAGCGGCCACATTATGTTTTCATGAAAGCCAAAGGAAAGATGGATTGATCATTGAGAACACAGAGGAAAGCAGCAGATGGGCAGAACGACTGTGTTGCCTGGGGCAGAAGGGAAGCAGTGGGTGGGCAGGATTCAGGCAGTGCGGCTGCTTCCAGCCTCCTTCCTCTCTTCATTACAGAACCTGCTTGAGCCCTAAAACAGGAGAAGAGTCCTGTAGCCTCTTAAAGGCTAGTGTACTGATGATCATGTAAGCTTTCAGGGGCTGTTCTGGAGACACAATTTGCTGCAAAAATGTTAATGTGATGATAGAATTTCCTACACTTCATGCATGCAGAGGGTGTTACTTGGTAAAGCAGGAATGTCTCTAGGATGCCCCCCTTCTTTATAACACAGATCAATCTGTAAAGCCACATACCGGGAAAGACTAACAGAGCTGATTATTTGGAAATTGCTCCAAGGCCACCTTTCCGTTTGCTGCAGAAGCCATCTTGGCTTTGGATCAGTGGACCTGGGCCACTAATCCAAAGCCATTGGGGGCATGGTGGGGGTTGAATATAACTCACACTCAAGGAGTTCTCAATGTTGACCAGCCAGCCATCGAAATGATAGAACTGTGCAATGGCAGCCAGCTGCTCAGCCACAGCATGGTACGCTTCTGCCTCGCCCGCTAGGAACGACTCGCACATTTTCCCACCGTCTGTCCATTCGGTGATGAATGTCCCTAGGAGCAGAAGAGGAAAGAAAGACCGAGACTGAGTCACTCACCTCCTGCCTGCGTCTAAAGCTCTCTGCATCAGGAGGAAGGAAGATAGGAAAACCTCCGAGAGGAAAACCTCCAAGACCCGTTTTGTCCAGTCTTCTGTTCCAACAGAGGCCAACCACATGTCCCTGGGAAGCCCAAAGCAGAACATGAGAGCAACATCCTGGCTTCAACTGTCAGAGGGGTCAGACATTGCTTCCCCTACGAGCCAAAGTGATAAAGAGCCAGAGAGCAGCACGAGTGGCTTGTGGGAACGGCCAGCATCTCCCAGACAGGGGAAGCTACTGCAAGGCAGTCCTAGAGGTTGACAGCCCGAGATACTTTACAAGAGTGCAGTGAATGAAGGCTTCCTGAAAAGGCAGTGAGATCACCTCTCCAGCTGAGCACGTGGAAGGGGAGGAAAGCTAGCTACGAATACAGCCTCCCTTCGGCAGGCCCAGAGCAACGTGAGCAGGAGAGGCGCTAGGAGACGGCACAGCCAAATGGATGCCTCTGTTCCCATCCCCCTTCTGCAAACTCACCCAGCACAAGGACCCCATTGCGGTGCGCGGCATTCATCCAGACCACTGGTGGAATGGTGACTGTGTGATGACTGAAGTAGATAAAGATGTCGATGTAGCACCAGTGGTAGAACACGTAGGGGTCACGCACCTCTGTGCCCTGGATGAACCTGCCAGCAACAGGAAGGGCAGAGACCTAGCAAAACCCAGCACGGCACAAGACGCACAGCACAATGGAGTCACCTACAGCAGAGCTGGGAAATCCTACTTTTCCAGACTGCAGATTCCAGAACCTCCCACCTAGTATGCTCACTGGCTGTGCTGACTGGGAGATTCTGGAAACTGTGGCCCAAAAAGAAACTTTTTCAGCCTTTGGATCGTACTCCAGCCAACCCAAGTGATTCTTTTTTCCCTACAGCTACAGAGGCCCAGCTACTATCCACCCACGAGAAGTTTTGCAATAACTCTAGAAGTTCCTCTGAAGTTTGCTTAAGCCACAGCTACTTGTCTCAGAAACAAGCCAAGCAGAAACTCAGCTGACAGAATGGTTTGGAGACTGGGCATAGCTATGGTAACCCTGGTGGACTGTCTACACCACCAGGGGACATAATGCTGTTGGTTCTGTTGGATCTTCTAGAATAAGACAGTCCAAGATGGAGGACCTGTGACTCTGCAGTTGCTATGGGGCTCCGATTTCCATCCGTCCCTACCAGTTTGGCCAATGGTAAGCAATCATAGGAGCAGTAAGTCATCACCATCTGGAGGGCCACCAGTTTCCTACTCCAGCAAAGAAAAAAGGGGGGGGGAATACTTTTTAGAACTTCCATAAACATAGAGGCAGCCTGGCTGAAGAATTCTGGGAACCACAATAAAAAAGTCACTTTTCATTATCAGTCCAACACAGAGGTAAATAACACTGGCCTATCACACAGGGCTGATGTAAGGATTACTTAAATAATGGAAAATGTATGTGGAATGCTTTGAACATATGAAATACATTTTAATATGGTAACAGATTCAAACATGATTTAATATTTATAATGTATCCTTTTAAACTGTCCTTACATTTTAATTATACCGTAAGATGCCTTGGGCCATAGAAACAAGGCCCGTATAACGAATGCTACTTGTACCTTGAACACACCTTCATCTGTCTTCACATCTGTACGGATAAACTGAAATAGGGTACAGCCCACCCAACCAAGGTCAACTTAATTGTGTCTGAAACAACTATGGCTTGCATAGCAGGAAGCTCTCCCATTTCAGCACCTATCCCTGCTCCAACCTGTCTTCGATGTAGCCACCCTTCATATCATGGCACACCAGAGTGCGGGGCCTTGAGCTGTGGAAGGGAGGCAGGCGCTCAGCCAGTGGCACAGTGGACACGTTGAAAGCATCGTCACTGGTCGGTTTCCAGGCAAGCAGCTCTTCCAGGCTTGAGAGGTAGAAACTGATTGGCTCCGTCGTCTGCCTGTCATACTGTCTGGCTGGGAAGATGAAGGGAAGACATTAATACCTACAGTCCCAAACAGGAAATAGGAACAGGTCCCTGCAGGGCTAGAAAAATCTATGCCATCCAAAATCCAGCCTTACCAGGGAGAGGATCAGGGGCAAAATTGACCACTCTGTGCAGAACAGATGTTCTTTGGCTCTCCATATCAAGCTGCAAACTGAAAGAAAGAGAAAGAATCGTGAAGATGAACCCATCCAAGAATCTTTAACAAGTCCCTTAGGATAGGGGATTGATATTTTTTTTTCATAAACTGCACCCTATCAGATGCAAACTGAAAGAAAGAGAAAGAGTCATGAAGATGAACCCATCCAAGAATCTTTGACAAGTCCCTTAGGATAGGGGATTGATTTTTTTTTCATAAACTGCACCCTATCAGACTTTAGAAAGCAGTACAGTATTTCCAAATTCTGATAAGGTGGAATCCTGAGTACAATCCATTTGACTGAAGAAAAGCCTATTTCTGGTGGACTGCCTGTGAACCAGAGGATAGAAGAGAAGAGGAGTAAGCCATCCCCTCATACGTTTGTAGAGGAGGAAAGGGATAGAGAAGCAAGAAAGGAAGAGGTAGTGAAAGTTATAGAAAGGATGAAGGAGTTAAAGGTGGGAAAAGAGGGGGAGGAGTGGGAGAGAGGAAAAAGGAGGGAGATAGATGTCTTCTCAACATCGGAGGATGGGGAAAAATCAGGGGAAAGGAGAAAGGTAGTGGTGTTAGAGGAAGAATGGCAGGAGCTAGAAGGAAAAACGAGAGTGTTAAGATACCACAAAAGGATTGGGCTATGAAAGTGGGGAACAACGACGATAAAAAGGGAAGAAGGAAAACCGATCATAGGAGGACTAGGGCCAGAAGAACGGATGGTCTTAGTGTACCCTCAAGGACAGGGTCCTTGGAAGGAGATGATCTGACCAGGACCGGTTCAGTCGAATGAGATGCCACCCGAAGGAGATTGGTCTCGTCGTCCCTGCTGCGGGACGATATGTGCGGTGAGGAGTGGCTGTTTGAGAAAGCCAACGGACCAGGAGTGATTTGGACAGGCCTTCCATTAAAGAAAAACAGTTATGAAGAAACATTGCCCTTGTTGTGGGCAGATTTTCCTGTTGGTGTTGAACATGTTTACCCCACTGAGGTGGCCGTTGAGAAACCACCGAGTTTTGTTAATACAGTAAAGAGTTTGTATCTAAAGAACCTTCTCTCTTGTCATTTCCTGCCAAAAACAAGGAGCTATCAGGCGCCGACAAAGAACCAGATCACACTGTCAGCTTCCCTCATCAAGGTAAAGATATTCACTTTGCCAGCATCTCTACCACAGGGCTATGAAGAAGAAAGCCAAAGGTGAGTCAAACCTTGGGTCTGCCCTGGTGTAGCTATTTGTTAAGCACTGGTGCCCATTTTAAAAGAGGATCAAGTCAGGGTGTACCTGGAACAATTAGAGGAGTCCCTCTGAATCCATAAGCCAGTGGCAATTGCCAAAAGAAGAGAAAGGACAGCCCTGAAGCAGCAGAACGGATAACTCAGGTGATGCTATACAAGGAAACCCTGAGAAGTTTTCCAAAATCTCTGCCAGTGCCATACTCCTACTCTGGCACCCTAGAGCCTTGCAAATCAGTTGCACCCATGGTGCATCATGGAGGCTTCAATCCAGAACACAATTATGTAGGAGTAAGTCCCATGGAACACCTACTGAGTAGACACTTAGGACTGCATCTGGCTGAACTACCTTGGATGAGTCAATTTGGGAACAGAAACTCCATTTGGTTTTACCCAGGGCTGCAGGGTAAAAAGCACCAGTGGTGTCAGTACAGGATCCTGCCAAACAGGTGCTCCTTTACTAGCATCATCCATTCCCACTCGCAACAAGAAACTTGTTTCCTAGTGCATCGTTCCGGGTTCTTCCCTAGGAAACAATCCCAAAAGGGCTTGGGATGTCAAAGGCACAAAAGGGTTTCTAAGGAGAGTTAAGAGGTCAGGCGCCCCTCCTCAACTCCCCGCCCCCCAAGTCTCTAGACTGCACTCCACTCCCAGGCAGCCTGCCAGCCAAGGCCACCCTCTGTCCAGTCCTGTCTGGCCTTAACTCGGCAGGTGCAGAGCACACACACGATCTGCTTCACTCCAGGGCCAGGGCTTGCTTAGCCTGCACGAAAGGAGAGAAACACCACAGAGCAGGGGAGGCCCAGCTCATCACCGAGAAGCCATTGCCTGTGCCCAAATGCAAGGCTTGCTGCCGGCCATCACCCTCAGCACCTGAGACACTCTCGCCTCCCACCCCAACTTAGCCCAAGAGCAAAGGGGCTGAAAAGACACTTCCCAGGAAGTCTAGCAGTGTCGCTGAGCCTGCCCGGGCCCATCCACGCAGCCGTCCCTTGTCCAAGCCCAAGGCCAGCTTGACAAGGAGCAGATGGGCCGCCGCTGGGTAGCCCATCAAACCTTCTAGGAAACATCATCACTGGCCATGACAGGCAGGAGGGGGGGGCAGCACCCAAAGTCTTCCCAAGGCTAGTCCGCTCAGAAACCACCCGTTCACCCCCAGCAGTAACTCTTGGAGTCGTACACACGGCTGTTCTCTAGGCATGTGCAGAGCGCATTTCCATCACCACGCGACACCACCTCCAGGTCTCACGCCGATCACCTCTGGCGGGAAATGGAAATGCTTGGCAACTGGAAACTTGAGCTCCGGACCCCTCGGTGTGTAGAGGCGCCAGGCGGTGCACCCCTGCCTGCCCGCCCCCAGCTCCAACCGAGCTGCCCGGTCGC